AGGGAGAATTTGTCTGCCTTTTGTACAGGACAGCAATCTACCCTTCCACTTTGTGATTGAAAATAGCAGGCCCTACCTATGGCATTCGAGTCTGATTTTCATTCCTGCTTGTGCGCGCTTGTGAAAAATGAGCTTACACCCATGAGCACCTTGGATGCAAAACAGATCAGATGTTCTGATCTGTTCACCGTGTCCTGTGTATTCCATTTAAAATATTAGTTTAACAAACATCTGGTGCATCATAAAGCGAGTAACTAACAGCCTTCTCTTGAACCGGTCAGCAAAAGTAACATTTTTCAAACAGACCTAATTATCTGAGCTATTTTTATGAGTTAGCACAAATATGTTTTGCTGAAAAAATACTAATAATTCTAAGGTATCTTCATCAATAATGGAAACTCTTGCAGGCCTACTGTTTTATTCATTTCTTGCTCAAGTGTTGGTTTTCCAGTAGTAAAGTGTGAAAAAGTATGTTTTCTATAAAACTAAAGTCACTATATTTATTAGCGTGATGGAGTAAATTATCGCTTCAGTTTGCAACATAGAACGGTCTACAACCTTTTATTTGATGATTTGAGGAATTCAGAGATCCCTGCAATGAAGGGTAAGCAGCATGTGCTCAGAAATTGTCATTTTTCTCAACAGCTTTTGACACCAGGTTAACCAGCATCTAAAATGTATTTCTTGACTGAATGAAAGGCGTTTCTCAGAGAGTTTCCTGTTAAAGTACAGTCTAACCTATAAGAGAGATCATGATAAACTGTCCATTATTTTTTTTTTTCACCATTTGTATTTTTCATTAGGAATTCTTTGTACAGTAAGTGATTTACATACATCAGAGCTAACAGATGTGTGAAATGTGACAATGTTCATAAAAATGAACATCTTTAAACTCTGGTGAATTAACTTGTGATTTTAAGTTTATGTTTACATGACCTTGTTTTAGGCAGGGTTAAAACTAAACTGAGTAAGCAGAAACAAGGGTTGATAGAGGTGAACAGTGAAGCTCAAGGGTAAGACTGCAAAGTGGTTAGTACGGTACACTTTAAATTGCTGGTGATCGGTTGTGTTTTGAGGTGGGTTTAGAGATGTACTGAGTTTTCCCTATTGTTTTCTTCTCCTACAGTAGGTGAATGTACATTCTTTTCAACTAGCGTCTAAGATAGAATCAGTGCTTCTCACATCCTAGTACTTTTATTTTTCTGCCCAGCTGTGCTGCAAGAAAAAAACAAAGAGGTTGTGACTGGTCCCTTCAAAAGAAGGAGGGTTTTCAGTGGTTCCAAATTATCTGCCCAGTTTCAATCTTATCCATTTCTTTAAGTTAGTCACAGATCTTACCTTATTGTACAAAAGGACTGTAAGAAAGCTGCAACCTTGGGTAACCACACTGTGCTGGGGAGATCTCCCTCAAACTCCTGGTGGGACAAACTAAGGACAATGATACATTTCTGTTATTGTTATATTGTACGTTGCACAATGTTGCACACTTTTCTGCAACTTGATACTGTATATGTAAGTACTGTATGTACAGTAATTGCATGGTTGTTGTGATTCCTAATAAGCTATAAATTAGTTTCTTTGCTATGTTGGTTCCGGTGTAGTGTGTGAACATGACAAATAAGTAGGAAGGTTTTGTTTGGGATTAATGGTGATTCAGTGGTTAAATATGAGAAAATAAGTATTTTAACACTTGAAGGCTCTGTTGCGGTTCTCTTGGCATTCCTTGTCAGGTATCAGAGTCCTCTAACGATTCTAACGATCTCTGGTGTGAGTGATTTGTCTTTTCAGACTCATTTATGTTATTGTGCACACCTTTGATTGCTGTCATTCTGAAACACTTGGGAATATCAAAAAAAAGTAGTTGGTATCACTTGCCATCTTTTAGGAAGTTTAGGAAGCGCATTTTATTACTCATATTTTTTAAAATCGGGAGTACTACAATGTTGTCTTACAGTTTTACAGTATATTCATGAATTCAGACTGAGCAATATAATAGAAAGGAATGACATAATGGCATTTAATATAATAGATCCCAAACTTTATCACCAGCTTTAAATTACCCTCACTTTGAGTGTGCCTTTATCTATTGTTTTAGCAAGTACATAAAATGTGAGTTTTCAGAAAAAACACAGGCAAAGCATGAAACTACTGTACAGTTATCAGATCTCCAGTCTAGGAAGTATGTCGACCCCTAGCGACATTCTTCTCTATTGTCACTCACTTAGCATTCATGATGTCTTTCAGAGGTTCAGACATAAATCCCAAAGCTCACTCACAAACAAATGAGGGCAATAGAATATATGGAGCTACTTACAGCTACAAAGTGATCATCAGGAGTATTGGCTTTTAGGGAACAATGAATTCTAAAGATTTGCTTAACTACAAATGGACCTTTGAAGATGATAAGCTACCATTATCAGAGATCCGGGGCAAGGAATTAAGCTAGGTAACCTCATGAATTTAATGCACTTTATTTCGACAAGCTTTCAAGTAGTATTTAATCATAAAGGACATATCGATAGAAAGGAGACAGTGCAAACCATCAGTTTCTGTCTTTGGGAATTTCCGATTGCAGTGACTATTGGTTGTCAAAACAAATAGCTTTAGTGAGTTATTAAACATGTGTGACCTGTTTTACAGTATATAAACTGAAATTACTCTAGGAAAAAGTAGGTCAACTGTACATTTTGGGAAAGTTATTCTACCAAAACTCTGTCTCCCATGTGTATGTGCTGTATGGAGTAGAGATTAGGACCCCAGACTAGGAGAGGCAGACTGAGAAATGGGCACTCTTGTTGTACTGTACAAGACCCTGTAAAAGAGTGTACAAATGAAAATCACTTTATATGAACATGTAAGGAAAAATATGTTTTCTTCACAGTCAGGCTGACAACAAGGTGATGGGTTACAGAAGAGATCATTGGTAAAGCAGAATTTATGATATTGTGAAATGACTTGACAAACTCCAGCCTTGCCGTGAAAGTCAGAAAACAAAGGCATTAAATGTCAGTGTAGAGCTGAATGAGTAAATGTTTTTTTTCTGTTGCACTTTAATTGTTAAAAAATTGTCATTTAAAACTGAGCAGCACAAATGCAAGTCTCATAGACGCATCGATATATGCTGTAATAAGGAAGCCGATTTCATCACAAGTTTTTGATAATAATACCTCTTCACTTTGTGTGTCAGGTAGAGAACGTGTGCTGGAACAAAACCTTATATAAAATATAGCTACTGTACAATCCACTATAACAGCATTTTATAAATGTTGCTTTGAGTACTTAGCCATGTTCTGCGAGGTCATCAGTACTGCAGATAATAGTTTTCTCGCTGAAGATCAATTGCTCCAGACTAAAATGTGTTCCATTCAGGAATTGGTTTATATTTCGGTCAGATTTCATCAGGCCTTAACTTAAGTAAGAGGATATTTTAAAAAATGCTAGACCACATTGTATTGAACATTTAAAAGAGTGAAAACTAACCAGGGATGACTCAAAATGTATCAAAAGGCTTCTAACATGACCAGGAATCCTATTACAACATACAAATGCTGGTCTTTTACTGTACATGCAAATCTGATTGATGTCATAGTGGATTTTAAAAGCAAGATACTGTAAATAGTGCATCCTATATTGAAAAGATAATTTTACTTTCGGTGAATTCCAAAGTTTCATTATTCAGCATATTAAAACCTTTAACTCTACATGAAACACTGAACTACTGAAAGATATCTAGATGTTTGTGTACACTGTATACAGTGTATAATTTTCCACAATATCCTACACTGATATGCTAAAATGATTAAAACGTGAACACAGAAGAGTTCGAGAGGACCTGGCTGAACATTTCAAAATCATCAAAGATATTGTCAGCCCAATAAATTATTCCAGGATCAGTAGTGAAACACAAACTAGGAGACACCAGTGGAAACTATGGGCAAATATGGTACATTTAGAAAAGAACAGCAGACACTTTTCATATAGAAGGCTATGGGAATCTCAAACAGACTACACAGCCATGTTGTAAAAGATCAGTAAGTCACCACGACTCAAATGAGCTAGATGGTCTGAAGAATAGCGTCCTATTATTGTTATCATTTATGGTTTTATAGTCTTAAACCTCTAAGATGCTATTTCAGTCCTTCCTGGTTGCCTGCTGTAACTGCTGAAAGGGGGAAGGTAGGGTTGGGAGATGTTTATGTCAATTAAGTCCCTTGTTATGAAAAAGCCTAAGTGACTAAATATGGGTAATCGGGATAAATGGCACCGCCCTGTACAGCAGTTAAGATTTTAGGTCACAGCTAATGCTAGATTCCAAGTGTGTTTGAGTTTGTTATTGATCTTTTCTAAACAGGCTTCTAAATGGATCTGCAGATAGAAACTACATTCTGTCACACTGGTTTAAGAGAATAATCATGTCAGAGCATCATCGTAGACCTCTGAAGCCTTGGGGCACTTAATACTTGATTTTTAATGTAATCGCCTAAATATAATCTTGTTAAAATAAAAAACTTCGGCAAAACCTCACACGATTCCCACCCCTGAGACTGGCGATTTATTGCATTTTGACGTTACAGTATCTAAAGCAGCTTTAAAATATTTAATGGTACCTCTGCGTTTCTTATAAAAGCACACCATCCCATAAATCGTCAAAAACGATTAAAAAAAAGTTCAGTCGGGCCAGCGTGGATATTAGAATGGTTGGACTGATACTAAGCATGAAAAGGATCTCAGAAAAAGTAGCCAAGGTACTCTTTTTTATGCTGGAATGAGAAAGCAAATTCTTTGTGATGGATCTCTCATATGAGATTTATGAGACTTATGAGAGCTGGGCAAGGAAATGGCAACAGAATTTAAATTCTTTATGGAGCAGTCATCGATCAAATTCACAAGGTTGTATTCCATGGAAAAGTTGCCATTTCGAAATGACGTTTTTTTCCCCCACTTCTCGTGTTTTGCTGGGATGCTGCTTTGAAGTTGTGTGGTGTTTTCCTCTCTTTCAGCTCAGGGTCCTGTTTCGGAGGAGGAGTATTTGGAAATCCCGGCGATCACCAGGCAGAAAGAGGGGATCTACGAGTGCAGCGCATCAAATGAGGCTTCAGTTGATGTACAAAAAGTAAAAGTAACAGTGAACTGTAAGCTGATCTGCATTCTTCTCCATTTTTCTCTGTGACCAATGTACAGTACAGTATGAACAAATAGTGATTCTCTGGCCATATAAAAAATGCAGCATACTGTGCACAACTTCAAATTATTGTGTGAAGACAGTTTTTTCACTTACAGGACTGTTGAGAGTACTGTTTTCCATCTTTTCTGGGTTTTGTTTTTAATCATTTATATCCACAGCAATACTATAAAAGTCACAGATGTTGAGATCTTCTGTTGGCTTCCTCAGAGAGACGGCACAGCCTTGGGGATAAAGATTGTGTACTCTGTCCCGGAAATGGATTTGGTGTCTTGTTGAGGTGTCTGGTCTGGCCTTAACATCAAGAAATTCAGAAATCATCTGGTGTGTGGAATTGGAAGGACGCTCTACTCTTATTGATTTTTTTTCCCCAAGCTGAGAGAAAGGCTCGGGTTTCACAGAATCTCACTGTGATTTTTTTTTTGTTTCATTACTTTCAAAAGCAACTTCCTTTTCCTTCTCCGGCTGCATTTTCTTCCCTTTTCCATTTTGATGCATTATTAACAATATACTTTAATAATCTTGCAGTGTTGTCTATTCAGTAATGCCATATATATACTGTATATATATATATTGTTTGTTTGCACGCACAGGCTTCCATTTATAAGTAATTTGCCCATTGTGTGTCTGTAGTTCCTCCAGCTATCTCAGAAGCTAAAGACATAGGAGTCCCACTGGGGCAGAAGGCGATTCTACGTTGTGAAGCAGATGCTGTGCCTTCAGCAGTCTTTGAGTGGTACAGAGATGATAGAAGGTAACAATCCTATATTAATCACCCAACTTAATTTAATTTTAACATGTTCATTCTTATAACTGGAATGGGAACAGATTGTGAAAGAAGTCATTGGATTGCGATACAGTATGAAAAAAACAAACATTATTGTACAGAAATCAATAACCCAAGTAGAAATTGAAATGTTTCCAATTTGTTGATCTCTGATGTCTACAGATGTAGAGACAGGGTTACACGGTTGGTGTTCTGTACATTTGAATGAATAAGTTCTGTCAAAAATATTTAACTTCTGTCATCTGCTATTCTATGAAGTGCTGTCAAAGTACATTCATTCACAATTTGTTCGATAGTACATTTGAAAAAACTTTTTTTATATATTTGTGTGCATCTGCTTACAAAGAATAAAGATTTACCAGGGTTAACTTTCTGTAAAATTACATCCCTCATAATATATTTTTAGCAAAACCTTTTTTTCATCCAACAGAAAAAAGAAATGCTTACATACAACTTACTTACAAAACAAAACCAGTTTTTGTCTGACGGTGCACCAAGGTTTCACCTTGTTTCAAATTCATAGATGGAATATTAACTGTTCATCCAATAATCTCGGGTTATCATTGCTATTTTTTTTGCACATAAGAGATGTTTTGACAAACGTTCATATCCTTAAAATAGCCGCATTTCACGTGCCAGTTAGATTCTTAATATTCTCTAGAAAAAAAAAAATTGGAAACACCTTGTTTGAATGTTTCTGTATAATGGCTTCACAGTCCCTTGACATGACATACTGTAACCTGTGTAGAAGAAGTCATAAGATTTGTTTTAGCACAGTTTTTTATTGTGGATCATACCGAGTACGGGAAATTAAAATGAATGCCATGTCTTATGCAGATACTGTGTCCTTTGTTCATACAGTATATCCCTATAAAGTATTATGCATGTGATTATAACGTCTTGTTATAACACTGAAATAAAGTGTTTCCAAAATATTGCACATTAATGGCTTAAAAGAGTTCCTGTGTGATTAGAGAGTTCAGAGATACTGATCTTTAAATATACACAGAGAGATGAAGGATAAATACAGCACAGGGGTCCTATCATCAAAACACTGAGGGGCCAATTGAAATTCAACTGTTTGAATATGGAATCCCAAAAGATTAAATTTATGAAAGACTCATTTGATAACTTATATATAAATTATATGAATATAATTCTGCTCACTTTCTGCGACAGCTAACCAGTCAGATTCAATTTTCTCACTTTTTTCTACGTTTGTGGGCCTTCTTAGGAGAAGGAGAGATTTTACCTGCTTAATCGCTCACACTGTCTGTCACACTGACAGACCTAGAAATTGCTGACAGGTTCCTACTTACTCATACTTACAGCTTTAGCTAAACTGCCCCATTCGAAAATGGCAACAGTCGAATTAAAAAATGTTAAAACAGCACCAGTATTGTGAATGTCACTTGGTGTTAGCAAGTTATTGCATAAACAGTAACAGTAGATTGTGCAACATTTTAGCTCATTACCAATAAGAAAATGAAGTCAAGTCACTCTTAAACGTTCCAAATACAGTATACTAAATATGAACAGGTTAATCTTCCTGATTACTGGAGATTCTGAAAAAAACATTACACTGTTTGCTAAATGTCAAAAGTCTGTGACTTGAAAGCCCAGAAAAGGTCATGTTCCAATATTAAATTCCTCCCATTACTGACATTTTGAGTACATTTGTGATAAGAATACATAATTTTTACAACGCCTTTAAATACATTTTATGAATGTCCATGGGCAGTCAATGAGTTTTCTTACCTTTTGCACAAAATGGCTGACTTACTCCCTAACGTGTACAGTTTAGAATGTTATTTTTTAATATTTTAAAAAATATTAAAATATTTTATAAACATTTAAACATTTTAATAGTTTTTATCACTGTTTTGGTGTGCTTAGATAGGGTGAGCTTAAAACACAGATCATTTATTATATCATTGCACTAGTTTATACTGTAGCACATATTAGGCAGTACTTGTCTGAAGAAGAATGAAAGCCCACAGGTATTCTATCTCACATCCATGAAACTGTTTTTCAGGATCCTTAACGGACTTAATGGCACAGACATTGAGAACAGAGGCAGACTGTCCTTCCTCACGTTCAGAAATGTTTCTCAGGAAAACTATGGCAACTACACTTGTGTTGCCACTAACAAACTTGGAAGTGCATACATCAACATAATTCTGTATGGTGAGTATATAATGAACAATGTTTAGAGACAGTATAAACTTCCCCAATTGTAATTGTACAACATTAACAAAAACTACTTGAGAATGAATCTCTCTCAGTGGAACCATGATGGTGATGTTTTAATACTTCACAGTACTTTCAGACACTTAGGAGACCTTGATAATGAGGTTTCAATGGTGGGGACATTAAAATCTATCAACATTTGAAATATCTGCTCTATATATATATATTACATTGCATGTGCACACACTGCCTACACTTACTGTTTTGTTCCTGTACTTTACTCATGATGTTCGCTTCATGATGTGGTCTTGATTCTGAATCTTCAGGCTCCTTTTCTGACACTGACACTGAAGACCACTCTGACTACACAGCATGTTTAAATTGCACGTACCAGACACTAACACGTTTTGCATCATCACCAAAGTCACTTCACTTCACATGGAACTTTTAGTATTAACCACATCCCAGAATATCTGCTGACTCCTTAACTACTGCCAGTGCTGAAAACCTTCACAAACAGTTGCCTTGACCTTGAGCTTTATAGTTGAGCCCTACCCTTATCATTAATATTGTTTGGAGATTATAAATAACGTTCCTTGGTGTAATTGTAAAACAATAACAAAAACACTTCAGAATTAATCTCTCCGAGTGCACGGTGAATGTAAAGTTATAATCGTGCTATAATCAAACATGTATTGCCTTAATGCCGAAGTGAGTGGTTTGTGAGTAGTTCTGAGCAAAAGCAGTGCTCAGCACGATCAATATGTAGCAAACTAGTCCACTGGTAACCCATTCACTGCAGAGTGGGAAGGCAAATTGACAGGTGAATCCCAAGTGACCAGCATACCCCAAAAGTATACCAGAACCTCTCCAAGCACTCTTCTGTCCCCTGAGTTTATCATTGGTGCTCTACCTGCAACATTTGTGTGTAATGCAGAGGTTTTTGACCTCCTTCTTCACCTGAGCTTTGTCCCAGTTGCACTGGGGTTGACATTTTAACAGAGCTGGTCCTGACTGTGATTAGGTGAAGAAGTGTCCCTGCTTTTGCTCTTCATGGGCAGGGGAATTTAGCAAAAGTCCTTCTTTAGTGTCCTGGAAGATGTAAGAAGTAACAAACAATAACAAAACCATTTAAGGTGTCTTCACTGTTAGGATCTTTGCTATATCAACTACGTTTGTGTCCTTACTAAGTATTTTGCTAAAAATCACATCAAAAAGTGAATTGGAGAACTGTGTACGTTGCAGTATTTAAATGGCCATTGTTTAGTGTTGAAAGCTGCCTGGCTTTATTTAAAGTAACACTAATTTCCTAGCAGTGAGCACATGAGTAAGAGTGCAAGCCCTTACAGTTAATGGAAAAGAAGCTGCTCTGAATTGATTCTTGTATCTGCAGACACACAATCAATTGCAATGATGGCGCTAGGGAACCCAGAGCTCTGATCAAAACCCTGCCTGGTTCAGCTCTGCCCTTGATGCTGGTGGGAGAGGGAAACACATTCCCTTGCATCATTCACTGAAGCTCCAGTAACCTGCAATGCTAGCCATGGGCCTGTGAGAGGAATTAGTGGAAGTTGCCTTTGTTCAACAGGCATTGTGCAGTAATTTTCCCATGTGTCCCCCAGTATCTGCCTACAGTAATGGGTGGAACTGTCCTTATTTTGTCAGAAGCAGCTAATATGATCACTGTTTGTGATACTAAAAGAGACACATGTTCAGAGATGTTTCCAACAGAATCTGTCTGTTTCTTCTCTTTCTCCAATGCCTTTGCATTTTCTCTGAAAATGAACAAAGACTTATTTCAGTCCATCTTTTTTTCTAATATCTATAAACATTTTAAGTAAATCCTGTATACTGTATATACACCATTACTGTACATGTTCTGTACACACAAAACCCACTGTACACTTAACATTTTGTTTATATACTTCTCAAATGTCTGCTGATTTGATTGCTTTGCAAATTTAGTTTTACCACTCCTTCAAATGAGATGGTCAATATATACCATGTTTCAAAATCTATTTGCTTTTCATTTTTGTCAGAATTGCGTCAATCACAGGCCAGGGAAGCGTGTTAAGTTTTGCATTTTTTTCAGGTTTCCTTTCAAATAATTATTTTCCTTCAATGATTTGCAAACTTCGATTACTAGGGTATCAAAGGAAAGTACAGTACATAGTTAATCTTACTAAAGTATTATATTTAACATAATTGTGAATCTATTTCTTTTACACTTTGCAGCTGGAAAACTTTCACTGTCATAGATTACGTAAAAAGGTTTTTTTAAGAAATGCTTTCTAAGATAATTCTCATTTAATACATAGTATATATAAATTAAGGTGAATTTTAGAATACACCAACCTTCTGGTTATGTTATTCTACAGTCCAGTTTTTTCTTTATTTTGGATTTAATAAACGTTAAACGTTCCTATACAAGGGTGTTGTTGCAAAGTTGCTTTGCTACCTTGAAATGAGTGTGAGCTGTTGCTAACAATGTATTTCCAATAATTCAATGTGTTCTTATTTAGATTTAAGTATTTGTTCTGCTTACTCGATTTTGTTTGAAAGAAAATGTTCGCCTCATCTAGGAGGCTGAAAAGAGCCTGGCAAGCATGAGGAGAATATGCTACAAATGTGATTCATTAATCTTTCAGAACATTACTTAATTGGCACTTGGCAATCACACCTAAGACATGACCACAGCTCTGCTTCGAGCTGAGCTTTTCAGAGATGTTTTTCACAGCGCTCTTTTGTTGTGCGCAAGCTAGTGCTGTAATTTTTATTTTGTTCTTTATGTTTCCTTTTTAATTTTCCTGGTGTAGAAATAAGTGAGCCCACTAGCTCAACTCTGTTGCAAGGTTAGTACTGAGCATGAGCATGTTGTTCGTTTCTCACCTCCTTGTTACTGCAGTACAGTATGTTGGTTCTGATATGCATGAGTGAACCGTGCCATTTTCACATTGACTTAACGCAGATGTCAGAAGTAGTAGGTAAGATTATACACCAAATGCTCAAATCACTTTCGGGTTGTTCTTAAAGCTGGAAAATATTTAGGATGGCAATACTGGTTTATTGAAAAATATATTTTTTTAAAAGGCTAATGCAATTACTAACAACTACCAGCAGTGGAAACACCTCTTCTAATGGGTCACAAGCAGTAGTTAGAGCTTAAATCGCCTATTGAATAGAAGGTCAACTAAAATAAGATTAGAGATGGTAATTGGGCTCTTGTGCAATAGAATTAAAATATAATTAGCTCAAAATGCCATTTCATAATATTAATAAACAAATTATGTTTTAATGTGTTTGAAACACATTATTAAAATACCAAGAAAAATGCATTAAAGTATATTTGCTCCAGTGATTTTTGCAATTACCATCAAACCATCTCCCCTCACCCCACAAATTAAAATGGTGATGCAGAACAGTTACAATGTGGAAATGGTGACTAGTGTTATTCTTATTTCTGTTTCGTTACTAACATTTTGTTTATTCTTTCTTCATAACTTTGTCATCGCTCCACGTGGCCTGGCTTCATTTTGCTTTTGCGTGCTTTGATATTTGGCATGTAAGTAATTGTTTCAATGCTCTATTTACATGTATCACAAAACTGTATTTGCATGTATCTCAGATGTTTCTTACAATGTTTCTCTTTAAAATATATAAGCATGCATGTGTGTGTTTGACATTTGTGCTGCTTTAAACTAGAGTCTGTAGTTGCAAAAGATACATGTAAATAATGCAGTTTGCAAATACAACAGTATTAAATTTATAAGGGTATGCTTTTACAATAATTTGTTAAAATAATAGTACATTTTTGAATATAGACAAAATCCAAATGTACTGTACAACCACTGTACTGGACTTTTTCAATATTGTTTGCACAACTCTGGAGTTAAAGATGACTAGATGACTTCTGGCTGTCATGTGAGCTAACGTTGTTTCTGTACAAGTGGAATTTATGTTGAAGTTTTACATTATTAATTAAGTTTTGAATATATTAATTACACAAAAGCTTCCAAATAAGTAAAAGAGTGTGCATTAACTGTGTCCTCCCTCGAGGTTAATTAATTGCTTTAATTTTGAATGTGAGAAACAGCTATTATTTAAATTATCCTGTTGCAGGGTTTAGTATAATCTTCTGCGTCAGAATAATTGGATAGTTCTCCCAAAAGAAACTTGAAGTGCACTGAGGAAAATCCAAGGGAAATTTAAAGTTATAGTGTAATACCCATTGCTGTAAAACTTCCAGTAAACTGTAGTTTAATTTTTGAAAGGTCTCTCACTCTGTTGAAGTATTCATTTAGCTGGGAGTAAGATCTGTAACTACTAGCAATCATCCTCATAAATTTCAGACATAAACTGACAGCTATGTTTTTTTCGTTATTTCCTACTGAAGAGCAGAACATGCTTGGCACCCCTTTTTTTGTGTCTTGCGAGCAATAATTACTTTTCTGTCATTTTCTGAGATGCGTCAAATTACAGCAAACTGAGCATTAATTGCTCAAAGAATTTGATCGTATTCTCTGTATAATCTGATCTTTGTTAATTAACGCAACCATAGATATCACATTTTGATAACGTTGTGCTTTAACAGCAATGGCAATAGAATATATTCATATGTCATATTCATATGAAATTATTAAAATATTTTTAGGAATCGTTGTATGGTGTATGGTTATGAGTGAAAATGATATATTTGGAAATATTCAGTAACTACTGTATACAATAAGAACAATTGCTTTCACTAAGTACTAGTTAGAGGAATATAATTTACCACAGACCAACTGGACTGAAAAATAGTTATAGATTTTTTTAGGTTCCAAAGCAATCACTCAGATGCCTTGGTCTGAAAGTGAATGAGTGTCATTGAAAGGACAATTTTGTAAGATGCAGTTTAATAGAAAACAAATGGTGTTTCAAACGATGTCAATCCCTTGAAGTTGCCTTGTGTGTGAAACAGAAGGACACAAATGTGTGCTGGAGGAGGCACTACCCAGCTACACATCTGTGCAGGAATCTGTGTAATGAATAAACAACACTTAACATTTATGTGTTAGACACGAGTTACAGCAAGCGCTTCATTTTCATTTAGCTGAGATCATGAAATCTTTAATTTGAGCCTTTGTTAGTTCAGGACAATCAGTAACATAGCGTAATGAGTCAGGTATTTTCTAGATAGGAAATTAAGAGAGTGATCTGAGAGTGAAGTAGTACAGTACAACTGCATGTTAATTAGTTAAAATGAGGTGTTTATGCACTTCTAATCCAACAGCGTAAAACAAAATCATGCTGAATTAAGTATTTACAGTATAGACTTTTCTCTTTAAAGTATTACAGTGCACATTAAGGATATATATTTGCTTGCCTTAGGATACAGATACATGTTTTAACAAAGTATTAGGACATACTGTACTGTAATTTGACATGATGTGTTTGAAGATTTAAACTTAATATAAAGAATTTTATCTTTTATTTCTCTGGGGAACGTGTTACAGAAAGTAAATTTATGAAAGCCTCCTACAGCATGTTGCCTTCTGAAAAACAAGTCAGACTTTGTGATACATTTACCTAACAGCAACTGACATTTTATGTATTGCATTGTTCTAAATTTTAAATTTCCCTAAAATGCACAAAATGCAGTGTCTTTGACTTCATCTGGCGGTCAATACACATTTGACAGAATTCCTATTGCACATGTGTTAGTTTGCTGAGGAGGTATTCATTTTTAGCATGCATTCAAAATAAGTGTGATAGCATAATTGTTTTGCTTTTGACTGCCCATCTTTCTGTGTGCTTCTGAGTAACCTTTACACCTGAAAACAGTCAGTGCTGTTGACTGAAGTGTCATAATTGTGTTAAAGTGTTAAAACTTTATTGATAGCAGTTTATTTTCTACACCTTTTCTTTGTTTGGAAATTCTGTGTTAAAGTTCAAGTAGGGAGCTGCATAGACTGCAAAGGAACAGGTAAAGGTTTATTCCGTGCTGAAAGGAAAAGAAAAGTGACACATTTCAGCTGTCCGTGGCCAGTCTCTTGTCTTTTAGTCTCTTGTCTTTTCCTTTCAGCGTGAAATAAACCTCTATCTCCATGTTCACAGATCAAAATGATGAAAATTGGTTTCTGCGAGTTTTTTTATAAAGTTAGGGCTGCCATGTTTTTAATAGACCCACCTAGTTTGAACCAACATATTATATCTGTATGTCCTGGCACTCATCACAGAGTCCTGAACTTTGACCCTCCCACTCATGTCTTGGCACATTACAAGCTCCCTAGTGAGTTACACTACAGTAGGTTCAACACCCATTGGGAGAAGTGTGCATCACTCGTGGATATTACTGCAAAGCATGCAGCATCCCTGCAAGGTTGTCTCTCTGACAGGCAAGAGAGCCCTGGATCAGCTAATACCTAACCCTGGTGGCACTGAGTCTATTGTGTGCCACCCCTTGGGGAATTGCAGTAGGAGATACTAGTGATACTAGTGGCTCCCTGTGATGAGAACTAGAGATGTTGCCACTTGAGGTACTGTACTTCAGAGCCATCTGACCTGTGACATTTTAAGACCCATTGGAAGTAGTCATGTTAAATAAAAATATACATTGCAGTGTTTTCTTGCACAAACAATAGTTCAGTTTTTTTGGACAGTTTACAGTATGTATCACTCAAGCTATAGTACTGTATGTTGTAATACACAGTGCCTTGCAAACATATCCCAGCCCTTGCACAGGTTGACTTTGAAGTAACCATTAGTATTTGTTACTGTATACACAACCTATTCCACACATTCAGGGCAAAATACAAAGACATAAACTGGTCATTCATGTGAAAGAAAACATGCAGCGTTCATGATTGTGTATGGTACAGTATGTATTGTAAGGTCTCTCAGTCATGTAAAGCAAATATTCAACCTTGAAAGCCGAGGAAGTTTTCAAGACAATTTAGGATTACAGTTGAATCAGGAAGGTAAAAGGATATAAAGAAGTATGCAAAAACAAAAACAAAACTTAATATCTCTTTGATGGTCAGGTCAATCATTAGGACTCCCAGACACTGACTAGATGAGACTGTTCTGCCATACTGAGCAGCTGGGCAAGGAGCAAACTGATTAAGGATACCAACAGCAACTTTGAAAGTATTCATTGGCTTTCAGTGGCTGCCATGGGAGAAAATTGTCAACTGTATCCCAGCTAGTCCACAAACAGGTCTTGGATCTGAAAAGAACAAAACCAACATCTTATATCTTGCAAGGGTTTGTCACAGACACATACAGTGAGCGATACCGCACACATTGTGTTGGAAGCACAATAGCTTTTGTGGTCAGACTGCACAATTTGGAGCTGTTTGGCCTGAATGCAAAGTGTTTCACCTGACACAAACCCCAGACAGTGCATCACTCCGACAGCTCCACCCCAGTTATCAGGCATGGGGGTGCCAGCATTATGTTGTGTGCAAATTAAGAGAGATAGAGCAAGTTTACTGGGAAGAATTGCCCCATTTCTGAAAATGGAACACAATAGGAAAGTTCTGAATGCTTTCACATGGCACTGTATATTATCTCATTTTAGAAGTATTTTCTACAAGTGAATAGTACATTACAATTAAAAAAAATTGTAGCTGTAGCTGACGGAATGTGCTCTGATACTGTAATACCATCAAGATTACCTCTGAAAGTTATCAAACAAAGTGCATTTTTGATTAGACTGCTCAACTTCAAACCCCTCCTTTATTGGTTCGTGATGAGCCCCATTTACCACTTTAATCATTCATTATGTCCCTTTGACAATACATGCCAAAAGGATCATTTGGTATTAATTAGAATGCTTTCAAGTTCATGTAGACCATCAACCTAGTTCATGTTATCCATTTTAATGAGCTGCAGTAATACAGAGACAAATGGATTGCTTCATTAATACCTTGAGTGTGCTACAGCATTGCCTGTATTCATGAAGATACTGTATGAATGTTTTCCAAAAGTCAATGACAGCTTCCAGAGGACACACATTTTTCCAGAGTCCACATAATTCTTGTTCTGTAGAAGACTGTAGACTGAAATATTTCAAAGAGTGCTCATATGTTTGACTCCACAATCTCAGTACATTTATTGCTTAGATCAAAAGTGGCCAACCTGTTCTAGAGGGACACAATTTGTCTAAAGTGTATTTTTTAAAACTAGTTTGCTAATTCTTAAAGTTGTTAAATAAAAGTAATAAAGGTAAAAGGTGGTGGAAAATGTCTGTCTTGGAGAGTGCCAGGATGTCCAGATCCTCATTCTTTAAAAAAAAGCTCTGAATGACCTAATTAGATATACTGTATTGCTCATTGAACTGATCAAAAGGTGTTCTGCACCACAAGAGACCAGTGGTTATACTGCTGGTCAAGACGATAAGGTAGTGTACTCTCTCATAGGCTGTAAGAATCTCAGAGTGAATACTGGCCTGTAGGGCAAGAACATGCTGTCATCATAATTCTAGTCAGCATTCAAACATGGGAGATGATGTTAGAAGATTTTGAATCAGCTCATACTGTGGCTAAACCCCAGGGTGGTATTGCCGATCACCAAACGATTATTACAGCAGCTTGCCATCTGGACAGTAGTTGATTAGCTTGTATGCAGCAAGCGGTAATTAAGGCTGACCTACTGTATGTGGTTCAGTGGTCAAGGAGGTTTTCTACAGTAAGATGATGAGGATAAGAAACATCCCCGTGGGATGCATTCAGAATGAAACAATGGAGCAGCTGTTCCAAAGTGCATAACACAGTATAAAGTACCATAATGCCTCCTCTTAAACTTTTGTAGATTGGGTGGGTTAGCCAATAAGTTTTTTTAAAAAAAAGAAATTCAGCAAGGGAAGGAGGAGAGAACAGATTATATTTGCTCATTGTGGATTAAAAGTAACAAAACTCTAAGATGAAATTGGCCCTCCAAAAAAAGAACGTTACACACTCCTGACGAAACACACATCTCACTGGGGGAAGAATAAAAGATTTTCAACTTCACATCCGGTTCTGAGGACTGGAGGTTCAACTGCTGAGGAAAAGGGGTTATTATCGGTTAAAAGGAGTTATTAGCTGAGCCCCTGTTCAGCTCCAACTCAGCCTTAAACAAACCGTGGTATCTTGAGCAGTACAGCCTTGTTACTGTATATTCTGCCCTTTGGAAACAATTTAAAACCAAGTGGATCTGCAGAATCATGTACTGTACGTATAGCTCAGACTCAAGTCTCTTTAAGTCACTTCGAATAAATGTGTCCACCAAATGACTGGTTATTATCATCTGCCTTTTTATTAGAGTGCAAGAACAAGACATTGCAGCTTGATGAATTTCTTTTTTTTTGCTACTCAACAAACATGACAAAAGAGGATGAACTGAAAATGTAATAGAATTTTAACATAGAAACTCTGATAGAAAAATATTAAAATAACCCAAAAAATGGAGGTGTAGGTGGTTTAGATTCTGTATGCCATCTGTTGCAAGTTTATTTTTATATAACAGAGATTTAATGGTTAGCACTACATTTTATTTTTTTAATTTTTCAGAGTTCTGCTTTCCTTTATATTTCAGCTACAGTTAATGTAAAACAAATAGTTGTAGCTTTTCGGTGGTCACAGTCCTTGGTAGTGCTTTAGGCAAGTTAGATGTCTGCCAAATCACTTCATATCTCCTAAAATAAATTCCATATTACTAAGTGTCTTAAGGTTAATATAATTTAATCTCTTAAAGAACAGACAACTACAGATTGTCCAATATTGAAAGGTCGGTAATGAATTAAAGAAGTAATACATAAATTTCTATACAACTAATGACAATACTCAGTAAAAAAAACATAACTAATACGGATTATATAAAATCTAATCTATTAGCAGCTATTATTCTGAATTCTTGATAGAGGTTTAATGAGGCTCTCCTTAACTAACAAGGCATGTCCTGAAACCCTTTCACTTACTTGGCAAAGTAGCATCGCTGCATATTCTTTAGAGGAAAGGCTATTGCATGGGCTGTCTTTCCACAGCAAGTTACAATATATACTGTCTTTAACTCATGCTATACCTTGTCTGTGAGGATATGCATTCCATTGTCCAGTGGTGTGCATCTGGAGTTTTCGCTGAGAATGAAAAGCAAACAGCAGACTGAGAATGCCTGGTTAAAGGTTAAAAGGCAAGTTTTAAAAATGAAGGCCTAAACCTCTCTTCTCCTTCAACAGGGCCTGGAGCAGTGCAGGATGGGAACAGCGGCACCCTGGGAATTCACACCTCATCCTGTCTACTGATCATTCTGTGTGCGCAGCTACTGCTGGGGCTTTGATGCAGAACTGTCTCCGAGGGGCAGTGACGATGGTTTTTTTTTTCCCCAAGACCACAGACTTTTGCACCAAGCGTGCACAGGCTAGCAAGTCTCCCGTTCCCATCTCCAGTTCCCAGGTCAAAAAAATTGCAAAGAAATAACGCTTTCCTTTTTGGCTGTTTGGAGGTTTAAACACAAAATCTTCGCTGTGGCAACCTAATGCCCCCATTTTAACCCGGTCTGCAAAAGGGTGTGATGTTTGTCTTTTATTTCTCCTGTTATTTTGTAATTATAGTTTTTATTTTCTGATAAACCCTCTGATGCAAGCAGAGTATTTAGTATGGGGGAGGAAACAAAAAAGTTGAGTTTTCTCCTCCACATTATAAATGGTGGTATTTTTTAAGTGGTGCGTGCTATATTTCTTTTTAGTAATAATGATGAGATATTTTCAGAGAGTATAGATATTGTATATGTAATTATATGAATATTATTGCTACTAAATCAATTTCAATTTTACTAGCAAATGAAAAAGGCGTAGTGTCTGGTTTCTTCCAGTCCACTACTGGCACAACAGTACACATAAACTAACCAGTGCTGGCAACTCAGGGCTTAGGGGTCAGATTCAATATTCATCTCCAATAGCAGCTTGTTTTTTTCTTTATAACCAGGATGCATAATTCCTGGCTCCTCTATATAGAGCCCAAAGAAATGCTGGTAGGATAGGATATTGTACAGTCTTTTTTATTGTTGTTGTCTCAAATAATTCTAGTTATTATAACCAGTCATGAAGTAAATTACTGTAACTCTTCCATATTGTGGAGTTTTCTGGGGGGAGGTACTGTACATAGGGCAGAAGGCAGTGCTTCAACAAATACGTATATGTAATCCAAGACAAAAAAACAAAAAATAAATGAGTACTCTACAAGAAACCATACCAACCCATCTTCTATTCCTTTTAGGAACAGGGTAGTTTTCTATGAAATTATCAGGTATATTTCCGGTCATATCGTGACATTGAAAATTGCACCACTCTGAAAATGCTTACATTTACTAAGAGCGTGTCATGTGCTCTGTGTTCGGTTTCGTTGACGTGGGATGACCTAATTCCATAGGGTGGAACACCTACAGTAGCATAAGGCAGGGAAGCAGTCAAAAGAGCTCTACAGTAGCATAATATCATTCAGCTAACCTTGTGCAAATATTACATTTGTAACCATTGTATATGTCTTAGGAAAGAGCTCTAACCAGTCCTTTTATCTAATTGTCTGACCAGCCTTTATTATGTAAACCACAGACCTATGTACTGTAAGTGGCATTTAGTGTAGTTAAAAAGAAAGTATCATTATTTGATTACAATCAAAGCAAGATCACATTGCAAGAGTAAAAAGGTTCAAATGGCTTTCTAAATTCCTCTAGCCATGCTGAAGTGTTTTTTTTTTTTTCAAATCCACTGAGCATTCTGTGATCTGCTTGGAATTGTGCTTCTGTGGATTTTGCCATCATTTTAAGGTGTCACTCCAGTAGAGGGAGTGAGATGAACCATTTTTGCAAGAATATTTTTTTTCCGAGAGCTACAAAGTATGGTGGTCTGTTTGGAAAAGTGTGTGCATTTCTGTGTGTTTTTTTCTGAACAGAGCTGCACAAATGTAGTAGAGCAGTGGACAATTACCAACTGAGGGTCTCGCGTGTGAGGAGCACGACTAGACTTTTTGGATCTGTGCATAAAAGAACTGAGTCCAGAAAAGACATTTTTCCTATGTACTGTACAAAAGCTCATGTTCCATGAAAAGATGCACTCCAGGTTTACCTTAAAAATGAAAGTTGTGTTTCATTTTGTGAGTTGCAGATGAAGGTCTTCTTTCACATTATTTGCCATTCTGATGTCAGCCTAAGGGCCAGGTTTATGGTGAGATAATGTTTTATGTTACAGAAACTAAGTAAATAGATCAAATGTACTGGATAGGATACTTCCAAACTATGTGTGAGTATCATAGAGTCTATAAAATAGTGTGTATGAGCTGATTGTTCAAGCCATACTGAAAACACAGCAAAGATACACACAATACAGTAGTGGAGAGCAATTAGGTAGTCATTTGCAGCTTTTTACCTAAACAGAATGTATTTTTGAACTATATATCATGTTATTCACAAGATTTCCATTCCATCACAAGCAGATGTGACTCTTTTTGTCATTTTCTGTTGCTGTTATGGGGTCAAAATTTTCTTTTGTGTCTTTTTTAATAGAAATCTCTGTCCTCAACATTGTTGTTTGAGGTCTTAAAATCAAAGACATTGTGGATTGGGACTCACAAGGACACTCACAAGAGCACAACGCGATTCACTGCAAAAGTGAATTTTATTGGCATGAGCAGACGGTTACTTTCTGTTAAAATTGTGCAAAGTGAAATTGCTCTCAAAACGTTTGCAGTATTACTTAGGGTAGATTCAATAAAAGTCTCAGGCTCTCCATAGTTATTTTTTGGAAAAAGAATGTGATGGGGGAATAAAAAAACAACACTAAAAATGTGTAAATTTGTAGTATGTTTTCTATGATATCTTGTTTTGCTGTGGCAGAAATGAAACTTATATTGCATCTGCCCCTTGTACTGTATGTGATGTGTTGTGACAGTGTTTGTAAAAGCTGTGCAGCATCTCCTCAGCTTGGATCTGAACGGACTAGAAAAGATACCAGAAAGTGAGGGATCACCTTGTGCGTTATCTTATGTAAATAAAATCAAATCAATACACTTAAAGACAAAAAAAAGGTATTTGCACAGTGGCCCCTAATCCAGACCTACTACACAGCCCCCCTTTTACACTATGCATTGAAACAGATACGGTATTATTCATTTCAGTGCATTCAATCTGAGAATGAGAAAAGACTCCATGTAATGTTGAAGGATTGTTGGTTCATACATTATGTATTTTTCTTCATGAAGATTGTGTCCATATTTAAAAACTGACAAAAATAAAATGTTGTGTCAAAGCAGGGTGGTCAGACAACTTTATTTGGTGTTTGAGTGGGGAGCTCTGTCAGCGCGTGAGCTGCGCAGGAATGAGCAGAGGCTAATTCCATGGGAGAAAGTAGGAAGAAAAACAACACTGTGCCTGTGGAAACTTCCTTAAATGTGATCCCCTGAGTGTAGTTTTTTTTTTCTTTATGTTTTCCAGTGTGGAATTAACCTCTGCCTGAACATTGTTTTTTTTTTTTTGGTTTACATTCTTATTGCAGAATGACACAAATTGACCTGAAAAAGACAATTGGATACAGATGTCTAGGTATAGTAGTTTACCTCGGATGGCTAATTACATGGAAAGGGTGTTAATGGTGTACACTATATTCTGAAGTACACCGATTATGCTGACTTCTTAGTTGCATTCAGTTATTCTTTAATTAACGTAGAAAAAAGATTTAAAATATAACACCCGCTCCATAATTTCTTTAAGAAAATACAGTACATCAAATGTATTTAGTTTACATATACCTATTAACATTTTTCCTACTTTAATATATGTTTTTAAAATGAATTCATCATTTTTACTTAGAGAAAATACTCTATGTAGCCCATACACGCTTTCCATAAACGACTTAAAGAGGAAAAATTAGAATTTCTCATTTTTTAGCCTTTAGATTACTTGCATACAGTAAGTGGTTATGGCCTATGAAGTGGAATATATTGTTAAGCGCTCACCCATTAAATGAAATTTTCAGACGCTCTCAAGTTTCCAGGGCAAATAAAAATCATAAACCTCATGATATATATCAGATTTTAACAATTGCAGACAGGTAGATTGAACTACATACGATCAAAACTGGCTCGGTTAATTAGAATACATTTCACTGTCAAAAGAATTGAACTGCTGGCTGGATCAAATACCTTTGATGATGTTTTTATTAATAATTATAATTACATATACAGTATATACTAATCACCCTGCTGAGAGGGAAATGTTTTAATTACCTGGTGCAAAAGTCCATTGATTGAGAACATCCAAATCCATGATATGTAAAATCCAGAAAGCAAGAGAAAAAGCATGATTGTCATTGTGAAGCCCTTACAGAGATACGAAGCCCTTACAGAGATACGTCAGTTTTCAAGTCAGGCAACAGTTGCTGTACTATAGTACATGATGGGTTGTACAGTCTTGAAATTATAAATATGAAAAAACGGACCATATACTGTATATTGTCTGCATGTGTAATGAGCATAATGCTTATCTTTAATACTGTACTGTATATTGGGTACCTCCTGAACATGGCGTGTCTTTGGAGATGTTGGTTTACAGGATGAGTGTATTACATGTTGGAATGCTGATCCATAATAAGCCTTATGTTCTGTATGGTATGTATCTGGGTACCCAAGAGTTATCTCTTTATGGGATGGTGACATGGAGGAATTCAAAAGGATTTTATGTTTGGGGGAACTGTTGGTGTCAGTTCAACCAGTAGTGGCCAATAGTTCTGAATACTTTATTGTATATTACAATGAAACGTAGTACCAAGAAATGAAACCAGGTCTGCTGATGGACCAAACATCTTGCTTGTGTCCATGGTCCTCCTGATGTTCTGAAGTTGTTGTGTGTTGCGTTTATTTGCTCGACTGGAAGGTGGCCCTCTTCATTTTGCACCTGAATTTCCAAACATATGCATATACTGTACAGCTAACACTGCTATAGGAGGTACTGTACCTCATATGACGTATTAAGCCATATTCCTGACTGTTTCCCCATCCCATGGCATTGAAACATGTGTGGATGTTAATCCTGATGTCTTGGCAGGGTTCCAGTGTGGTCTTATACAATTTGTCCTCCTTAAAATGAGTGAGGACACACCTCCACCTGACCTCCTGTGTCATGTGGCTCCCAGTACTGTACGTGACGTCTTCTGCTCTTCACCCAGGTGAATGCCGCACTTCAGCGGCAGATAATGTGAGTATGTACAGCATGCTGAGCAACAGTTTGAGATGAATAGTGCCATGTAATGCATTGGATTCTTATTTTTACATTTTTTAAATGCTTACCACTGTTGTTCAAAAAGTAATAAGAATATGAAATATTGAAATTGGATAAAGTTTTTGCTTCTTCGTATGATGGCAACATTGGAAAAAAAAGTCCCTCTTGCTTCACACCTGAGTGGAATTGAATAAGTGTTTTTATTATTCAAATCCATCTAAGATTCATTAGCTGTATTTTTCAACTTTTCCTTTATTTTTGTTACATTTTTTCACAGTTCTTATTTATTTCTGTGTTGTTCTAAATTTCCATTTTATTTTATCTAGTTCCTCAGTAGAAAGCATTAGTGTTGCTCTTGCTGTTTACTGGTGGAGAATGCCTTTTATCTGCCTGTTAGGGAGATTTAAATTAAGTCTTTCACATTATTACCTATTTGAAACAAAAAGAAACCTATTTTAATATGTCATGTTATTATAATGTTTATGTTATATTTATCCAAGGCAGAAACCAATGAATAAGAGCACAGGTTATTGTCCTGAAGGCATACAGTACCTTCCTTGGCACTTAAATGGATTTCCACAACGCAATTTCAAAAACAGTGGCATTTTACAATAAATGTGCCTTAGACAAAGAAAATCCAGTTTAATGGCTGTATTTTTCCTTATATAATATAATATATACTTCCCTAAATGAACAATTCAGTAAAAAGAAAAAAACTAAATGATTTGTTACCTACCAGCCTGGTTGTCTCAAGGCATGCTGACTGAATGAATGGTAAATCTGTGCATTTCATGTTAGTAACAAATTACCCACTATGAATATTAAAGCACTGTATGTCTTCCCAAATGGAATGTTTCCTAAATGGAGCCCGCGGTTTATTTTAATGGTTCACTGCAGCCTTGCAAATCTAGAGATGTCAGTCATTGCTATTGCTGATAAGCAAGCATGGATGTTCATTAAATTGTCTTTAGATTCATATAGCAGAATGTTAAAGGTCAATATGCAATACATTCTCTTTGTATTATTATCATTCCTGTTATAATTGAAGGTGTATTCATAGCTGCCTCCAGTAGGTATTCAAACACAAATACATTCAAACAGAGTTCCTCTCAAGGACTGGAGTCCAATATACTGTACTGTGTATGTTTTGATGTACATACGTACATGTACAGTATTTTGAATAAAATACAAGTGTACCACAGAAAGTTTCTTTAAACATAATTCAGAATCACATCTCTTTCTTCCCTCTGTTTGGGAGCACAGATGCTTTCCGTTCGGTTTCATTAGCTTTCATTATGCTTGTCTGTGATTTTTCTTCTTATTTCTCCAAGGTTTCTGTGAGATACAGGTTAGGCTACCAAAACCATTTCCCAGGGTCTATAGCCTTGTGTTGACATCAGACAGCATATTGCAGCTGATTGTGTCATATTTAAGCTTTTTATATATATAATGCTATGTCTAAATAGCTGTACGTTGTGCTTATTTTGATTTGTAAGCCTCTTCAGTCTTTAGTCTCAGATCTTTGTCCCTCTAGAAAATGGTGTATGGAGAGGTCATGTTTTCCTGAGATGAGTGTGTTTATAACTTCTGCCTAAGACATTGGGTGAAGTATTGACTTGAGATATTCAATTTCTTCAAGTGGTCGTGTAATCACAAGTGCGCCAAGTCTGTGATCTCTCAGCTTGCATGTGAAACAAAACAAATCTATTCATCATGTGATTTGCTTCCGACAAACCACACTTACAGCAGTCCATCGGATGCCACTCTGTCATGCTGGCCATTAAACAGAATTGATTTTTCAGGCCTTTGATGTGCGTGATCCAGCTCCTTCGGCAGCGCTTGTCTTTGCCTTTGACATTCCTCAAGCATAATGGTGGAGTGAGCTGTGCTGACGACGTTGTGAGAGGGTCTTGAATGTGGCAATCCTTACTTTTTCTGATATACAGTACTTGATATGCATTGCCATCACGTTTGAACTTTTTAAGAGATCGTCCTGGTCACATATTTAATGCACTACAGTGCAGTAAAGCTTCATATTTTACTAGGATGAGCAAAACTGCTTTGAAAGTGTTGCTCTTTTGTCAGAATTATTAAAAGAAAAGATTAAAACAGAATTTGTATTAGGGCATTTCAGGTCAAAAGCCCCCCTCAGGGTTTTAGAAAAGAAAAATGTCATACTGTCCTGTACAGTATACCACTGAATCTAGGGCAGGCTTTTGACCTGCTACTTTACTTTACTTTACTTTTTGCTATTTGTACTTTTTTTAGATTAGTTACATTTTAATTTTTTAAAATAATATTTAACTTATATGGAATTACATTTTTTGTAAAGGTATTTTTTGTAAAGTCACAGTGATTTTAATTAAACTAGTTGAAAGTACTGTAGGATTGCATCTTTTGACATTTGGAAATGTTTATAAGCTATTGTACAACAGTACTACAGTATATTCTCCTGTACAACAGTACTACATCTAAGTAATTTAATCCATGCAATAAATGCTACAAAAAACAAAACACAAAGATGAGTCGAATTATTCAAAGAAATGTCTTCTGAGTAATCATAATCATTAGCAAAGGAAAGTGTAAAGACAATATTAACAATATGCTGCATTCATCTTCTGCTTTCCGCTACTGAAATGTACTCTAGATGCCAGGATTGAGTTTGACTGGCTATTAAGAGTACAGTATAATTAGGCTTGCTTATGTCTGACGTTTGTATGTTTGCTGTGCATAAAATGGTACAGTAAAGCATATATTTAATATAAAGCAGTTGTGTTCAAATTGCTTATTTTGACCTGTTTGACTATCCAAAACATAGCAATTTAAAAACATTTTCTTCAACTTTCAAAACCATTAACCCAGGCCAGTGTATTAAGACTTGTGAATGAAATGCTGTTTCATAGTTTAATTTCCATTTTCCTGACAAAATCAGGAATGTCCTGCTCATCAGATGTGAGGGCAGGTGTGGGACAAGTTGGGATGCTTAGTACCATCTGGGGGTCTGAGACCATAAACAGGGACATGCGTGATTAGG